CAGTGCTATTAGCCGGCGTGAGGAGCACAGCTGCTGAAGCTATGAGAAGTTACAGTCATAGCAGAGGACTGTACGCATTTTTGGAAAACGCGACACTGAGAGAAAAGAAATTGGGGCTGGAGAGATGGCTCAGTGGTTAAGAGCACTGTCTGTTCTTTCAGAGGTCCGGAGTTCAATTCCCAGCAACCACATGGTGGCTTACATGCAGATAGAGCACTAATATAAATGCATAAAATAAATAGATAAAATCTTAAAAAAAGAACATCCTTTAAAAAAAAAAAAAGAAAAGAAATTGACAACTTTCTCTCTACTTTCTTTCTCCCTGGGGAAGCATTGCTTTTTTTTTTTTCTTTCTTTCGACAGTCTCTCTAGGATATAAGGATCTATCTGCATACATTAATCTCTTTGCTTCTGCTTGGCCCCAGATGTGAAAGGCTGGTCTTCCTTCTCTAGGGTCCTGTGCTTGTCTGTTCTGTTTAAAACCTGTGGCTCTGTGTGAAACTGTGTATGGCAAAACTGGGCTGAGAATCCAGCTCACGTTCCAGTCTTTCCCAGATCCCTTCAGTATGGGGTCTCTTGGGGGTACAGGGACAATTTAAAGTGCTTTTAAAGACAATAAAAATCGGGGAAGGGATTAAAACTCTGCAGTGGTCTTTTCCCTTTTCTTTGTGGAATGTTCTGGAAGTACTGTCTTTTTTTTTTTTTTTATTTCTTTGTGGAAGATTTCTTTGCAATTCCACAGAAGTAGAAAGGTTTCCACTTCTGAGTGTTCTTATTTAAAATTCAGGAATGAAGGAGATGGGGGTGGCCGGAGACATCTGCCTACCTCTAGCCTCAGTTCTTTTCTCAACATAATATTTTTATTGATTCTTTTTTTCACATCATGCATCCTCATCACACCCAATTCTCAGTATTTCAATGCCCATCTCCCATCCTTGTGACCTCCCCCCCCCCATAAAGATTTAAAAATAAACCAAACAAACCTGAGTCCAATTTGGGTCGTCTGTAATCTCACTGGAGCATAGTCAAAGTGACTTTTCCCTTAAATAGAACTGAGTCTGGCCTTACTCATACCCTCACCAGAAACCCTCAATTGTGGAGGCCTACACGTTAGCATCCTCATCACACTTTTTACAAGTTCTCTTCGATGACTTCCTGTTTAGGCTGCTACTCTTTATTTTTTACTTTTGAGGGGGGTTTTAGGGATTTGAGGGAAGAATTGAGGGAAGTAGCCTCAGTTCTTAAGTCCTCAAGGCTCACTCTCCCAAGTGCCCAGATTACACACTCAGTTCAGACAGTAAACTATATTCTACAATATAATTTTCTTTTGGTTATTTACAAATAATATTAGACAGAAATAGCCCTATCTTTGGGGTTTCAGAAACTCACACAAGATGGCGCCAGAGAGCTGATGTGGAGATGGATGGGGTCCAGAGATGAGAAAGTCCCTGAAAACAAGTGGCCTGGGAGTATCCTGGTGTATGTGTGTGTGTAAAAGCCATCAGCTCTTCATCATCCATCCTTCCAGTCTCAACGTATCACCAGACACCTTTGCCACCAGGACACCATCCAGAAGGTGTGCTGGGCATGGTGGTGCACGCCTGTCAATATGCACTTGGTTGGTAGACGTAGGAGGATCCAGAGTCGAAGGTCATCATGGACTAGCTTTCAAGTTTGAAGCCAGACTAGACACATAAGACCCTGATTAAAAAAAAAAAAAAAAACAAACAAAAAAAAAAACCCAACAACAACTAAAAAACCCCCCAAAACCACCACCACCACCAAGCAAACAATAAAATAATAAAGACCACAGGTCCACAGGCGTGGGAGTGGTCACTTCCTCAGACTGCTGCAGAAGAAGCTTGGTCAGCAGGACTTCTTATCAATAGGGCTTCTGGTCACCAGGGCATCCGAGGACTGGAAGGCAATCTGTGCTGAAGGAGTTTTTGTTGAAGGTTCTGAACCAATAGTTGGGGAGACACGGGCGTTAGGGAAGGTAGAGGCAGGAGGCAAGCGTTGGGCTGCCGGGGACTCTGATCCTACCGGGCAGGCATTGGCAGCTTGCTTCTCCATCTTGTGCCGAGCTTTCAATTAAAGAATAAGAGCTGGGTGTGGTGGCACATGCCTTTAACCCCAGCACTCAGGAGGCTAAGGCAGATCTCTGAGTTCGAGGCCAGCCTGGTCTATCGAGCTAGTTCCAAGATAGCCAGGGCCATCCTGTCTTGAAAAACAAGACAAGACAAAACAAAACAAAACAAAAAAAGAGTAGGAAAATTAGTGAAAATTATGGTAGCATGAACTCCACCATCTTGAACATGTTTTTTTTTTTTTTTTGTTTTGTTTTGTTTTCATTGTTTAAGAGTCTTACCACTGAACTACATTGGTCCCACCATATCTAGCTATTGTTTCTGGAGACAGAGTCTCATGTAGCTGGCCTCCCACTCACTATATAGACCTTGAACATCTGACACTTCTGTAAACAGGGGAATGTGTGGAGGAAACGAGATATCTCAGACCCCATGACATCTTTGCCCTTTACAGTTTGACTAGAGAAAGAAGCTTTGCTTTAGGGCAGGGGGAGACAATATCTCATATGATCCAGGCCAGCCTTGAACTCCCAATCTTTCTGTCTCTGTCTCTAAAAGTGCAGTGATTATACCTTGTACAATGTCAGCTTTTTTTTTTTTTTTTTTTTTTTTTTTTTAATAGACTGCAGCAAGTTCATGGAGGAGTCAGGAAGCTTGGGAGAGAGAAGCCAAGGCTGGACAGAGACTCTTTTTCCTTCCCAAGGGCCAGCTACCTTTCAGGATGATTGGTTTTGGCTCTCAGCCAGGTTTCCGTTTACTGGGCAGGAACGGCTCCTAAAGGAAGAGATGGTATCTCCACTGGGTAGCTAGGGAGTAGCAGAAACAGCCTTGCCTGCTTCAGGCTCCAGCCAGGGAAGCTCAGCTCCCTGGGAGTGGATAGGAGGTAGGGATTGCTGGAGAGGAGAAGGAGGAGAGAGGCCAGAGAGGGTCTGGTCACATTCCACATGGCACCTGGAGCTGCCTGGGTAGGTGATGGTGGAAATCTCTTCCTGGGGGGATGGGTGACTTAATTGTTCAGAAAGACTAGAGGACCGATTTACTTCTCAGTCTTTCGGCTCAGATCAGCTGCAAGGAGAACGAGAGGAAGGGTACACAGGTACCTTCGTGAGTGCAGCAATGGTTGAATCACCGGCTGAGTGAAACCTCCAGACCAGGCTGGCTCCCCATCTGAGCCCAGACATGGAACAGCTAGCCTAGACTCAAGTTCAGAGAGGGAGGACGTAGGCAAGGCGGGCCAAGAGGACAGCCTGGAGGAAGTGATGCTGGAGGTAGGCCCTGAGGGATGAGTAGGAATTGGCTAGATGAACTGTGGAGCGAGGGACAGGGGTGGGCTGTGCTGTGGGAGCTTCAGAGACTCTCCCAGTGGTGTGCAGGTAGAGCATAAGGTCTCCCATATTGGTCCTGGAAGTATTCAGTTAAAACTGAGGAGAGAATCAGGGGCTGGGCCACATTGGTCCTGTATATCTTGCAGGTCTTGTCACAGAGTGTGGGTTTTACCTCGAAATCAGTGAGGGATCTGCTGAAGAGTTTGAAACGGCTTTTCCTCCACACCGGCATGGCTGTACTCCAGGCAGAAATGAAGGTCGGAGCTGAATGGTGGAACTGGGAAGCACAGCTTCCAGCTCCACAGCTCCAGGGGCGTCTTTTCCATGGACCACTGTATGAAGGATATTCCCTTAAAGTTGCTCACTCCAGATCCAACTAACCTTTGACATCTCAGAAAGGAGAAACCAGAGAGGATCAAGAGGATGAATGATGGTGGGTTGATTAAAGTCAAAGAGAACTTCAAGTGCTGGGGAGATGGCTCAGTCAGCAAAGTGCCTATTGCACAAGAAGGAAGACTTGAGTTTGGATTTGCAGCACCCACCCGGCATAGCGGTACACGGGTGTAACTCTAGTGCTGGCTGGGGAGATAAGTGAAATCCCAGAGCCTGCCAGTCCTGCCAATTGGTGAGTTCCAGGTTCAGCAAGAGACATGGTCTCAAATATTAAGGTGGAGATGGGATTAGGAGGCATTTGTCCCCTCACACAGGAAGGAATGACTTTGTGAGGGTTTGGCTAGGAGAGGCGGGGGAGGTATACGGGGTGGAGAGTGGTACGGGTATTGGCACAAAGTTTCTAGAGCTAAGAGCTGGGTGTGGTGGCACATGCCTTTAATCCCAGCACTCAGGAGGCTAAGGCAGATCTCTGAGTTCGAGGCCAGAACTGTGCTGTCTGCCCACCAAAAAGCACCCACTTTTCTTCGTGGTAAATGGTGGTCTCTCATAGCCATGATGGGGGCTTGTCTAGGCTGAAGGCAATTGAGGTCAAGGTTAGAAGAGAGGCTCTGGGTTTTGAACCATCAGCAAGAAGGGTGAACATCACAAAAAGCAGCTCGGGCCAGGTGTGTTAGGTACACCTTTAATCCTAGCATGGGGAGGCAGAGACAGGCATATCTCAAGGAGGAGATTGAGGCAGCCTTGGGGACAGTCAGGGCTACATAGTGAGATCCTGTCTCGAAAAGCAAAACAAAAACAAACAAAGAACCAAAACAAACAGAAAACAAAAAAAAGCTGGTAGGACAGTCTGTGCTGTTTTCGTGGCAATGTCAAACAATATACACATGAGCAATGCATGCTTCTTAAAAATAAACAAATGTAAGGAAAACACCCCCAAACACCTGCAGCTTATAAGTGACTTCAAGTCAAACGGAATTAGAATCCCTTGGTGTGTAGCTTGAGGTCCGGAGAAACTGGGCTGAGCTGTCCGAGTGTGCCTGCCTACCGAAGAACCCCTTCCTGAAGAGGGAGACACAGCTTGTCTGGTTTCTACATAGGGAGCTGGAGCCTTATATCCCACACTTTCCCCTGGGTCTATGCTCATCTTCCTTGCAGGGAACATTAAAGAGCATCCATAAAAGACACACTGCAAATTTTGTAGGCTGTAAAACTCGCAGATGAATTTTCCCATCCTATTTTACGAGCCCGGGTTTTAAAGCCGTCACGGTGCCAGGCCACCCCTGTCTCGCACGAGAGCTTCCTCTTCAGGCTCTGAGTTGTATTGTGAATTCAGCTGGACGATCTGCGATGACAAGTGGTGACTTAACATCTGGAACATTGTTCCCTTCCCCTTGGAAGATGCCCCTGCTTCTTCTGAAGGTAGCATCATCCACATGGAAGCTGAATGAGGATCCCAAGCAAGCAGGAGTTGTCCTAGTCCCCAACAGTATTTAAACACCTCAAGGATCAAGGATAAAATGAAGATGTTTAAAACCTTCAAGTACACATTGTACATCCCATATCATTTGGAATCTTAAATGCACCAACATCTAAAACTGAGCCACGAATGACATTTACATGTGGAGAGTCCCACTCTTGACCTTATGTGATGGGTTGTGAAAAATGCAGGCAGACAAAATAATACGGTATGAAACCACCTTCAGACTATGTGTGCACAAGGTGTATATGAGGTGTAAATGAATTTCGTGTTTAGATTTGGGTTCTATTCCCAAGATTTCCCATTATGCATAGGCAAGTCTTAAAAAAAAAAAAAAAACTTCCAAAAAAACCTCCCATCAAATCTGTTCTTCTGATCCCAAGTATTTGGAGAAGGAATATTTGATGTGTGTCTCCAAGAGTGCCAGTCAGAGGAAGGGAGGGTAAACAAGCCATAGCTTCTGCGGTGGAGCTCAGTAGAAGAGCATCCGCCTAGCATGTGCGAGGTACCAGGTTTCGCCCTCAGCATGCAAAAACAGAAAACAAAGCAAACCAAACCCAAACCACCCAAGTCACCAGCACCAAGAGCAAAATCCAGATGTTAGAACTGGAAAAAGCCTTTAAGATCATTTAATCCAGTTCATTAAATCTACACTTTGGCCACCAAAGCCAAGATTATGTTTGATGTTTTATTAAATGATCTCAGGAGGCCTCTGATACTTAAAAATAATTTTCTTCCTTTCTTCCCCTCCTCCTCCTATGGCCCCCTCACTGTTTAGCCAAAGCCAGCTTCAAACTCAGAGTGATCCTCCTGCCTCTGCCTCTGGAGTGCTGAGATTACAGGCATGAGCTACCATGCCTGGCTAAAAAGAATTCTTTAATTTAAAAAAAGCCAAGTTATTTTTTTTAAAAGTAGGGCAGTTAAATGAGACTCATTTGTTGCCTAAAAATAGCGCAAAAGTTTTCTCCTGCCCTAAATTAGGAAACCTCATTAAAGAACAGGCTTTTGTTCATAAGAATCTACAGAGCACGGCCAGCTCTCTGGACAGCAGCACAGTCCTGGGCTCAGGCAGTGGTTTCTGGAGAGATTAGAATCTCTAGGAGATGCTCTTTATGTAGCTCCCCAACTCAATTAGAGGCCACTTCAGCCTTCCCAGAAGGGTAAAGAGGTTTCTGCATGCATTCCTTATTACCCACGGTGGTGAATGAGCCTGCCTTAGCAAGGGTAGATTTTCAGAAACGTGGTGGATGGGGGCTACCAAGATAGCTCATTGTGTAAGGGTGCTTGCTGCAAAGCCTGACAAGCTGAGTTCAATTCCTGACTCACATGGTGGTAGAAAAGCCAATTCCTGAAAGTTATCCTCTTGTATACACTCACATACACACACACTCACTCACTCATATACATATTCACCCATTCACCCATGCACAAAGACACACACGCATACATACTTACACACATAGTCTCTCTCTCTCTCTCTCACAGGCACACACACTCCAACTAGGGAAATACATATTAGTAGAAGTAACGCTGAAGACAAGCCATCTACTAGCCGAGTGTGGTGGCACATGTCAGTAATTCTAGGTGGACACGAAGGTCAGAAGCTCCAAGCTATCCTTAGCTCCACAGCAAGTTTAAGGCCAGCCTGTTCAATAACCAATCAACCAACGGAAACCAACAACACAGAAGCGAGGGTGATCTGGCTGCAACATTTGTCATCTCACAGGCCGCCAGGCTGGTTAGGCAGTGTTGTCTTTCTCCCTCACTGCTCTGGCTGTCCTTCCTGAAGCAGCATGCTGGGCTAAAGGGGACAATCTTCAGTGGTAGAGGAGGAGTGCTCTTTGGGCAAGGCTCTAGAGCAGTGGTTCTCAACCTGTGGGTAGAGACCCCTTTGTGGGTTGAAGGATCCTTTTACAGGGGTCGCCTAAGCCTATCAGAAAACACAGATATTTACATTATGATTCATAACACAGCAAAGTTACAGCTATAAAGAGGCAATGAAATAATTTTATGGTTGGGGTCACCGAAACATGAGGAACTGTATTAAAGGGTCACAGCATGAGGAAGGTTGAGAAGTGCTCCTCTGGAAGAACTGCACTCCGCTGCTGGAACCCCCAGACCTCACAAAACAACAGCAACAGGCACCAGTTCCAGAAAAGGGGGGAAAGGAATAAAAAGGCCCCTCCTCCCAAAAAATGCCTGCTGGAGTGCCTCATGCCTGTAATCCCAGTACTCGGGAAGGCAGAGGCAGGCGGATTGCTGTGAGTTTGAGGCCAGCTTGGCCTACAAAACAAGTTTAGGACAGCCAAGATGACAGAGACACCCCCAAAATCCACACAAACAAACAAACAAACAAACAAACAATCCTACCATTTCTTCAAAGCTCTTCCTTCTGGGGAAGGTACACTCTGGAAGCCCCAGCAAATGATATAGGCTTGGGAACTGGGCAACCCTTCCAGGGCAAAGCTGGCCTTTCCATTTCTGTCAGAGAATTCATATCCCAAGAAAGATGTGCCCCACCATCACATCTGCCCACCTGGCGTGGCCTCAGAGCTGGAGAGCGCTTCCCTTTCTTGTTATGCACATTTGCTTTGGACCGGAAGGCTGACCTTCCTGTCAGTGTGGGCAGTACTGTTTATTATTGTTTCCTGATAGACTTGGTGCAGAAAGTCCGAGTCCAGTGTCCATTAGCCTTGAGACTGAGCTCCGTCTCTCCCCTCAGCAGAGGCTCACTGGAAGGAATTTTCCCAGAAAACAGATAAGAGAGTAGGAGGAAGTAAGATAAGAGGGGCAGGCAGTCAAACAAACAAACAAACAAACAAACAAACAAGCAAAACAATCAAAAGGCATATGAAGCCAATTCCCCAGCACAGCACAGGCAGTGGGAAGCTGACTCTATGGGAAAGTGGGGTGTGGTAGGGAGGGAGTGATCAGCTGAGGGATATTTACATACCAATTGCACTAGACCTTTAAATCTGAAATGTGGCCCTATAGCAGATATGAGCCAGCCTTGACTCTCAGGGTCTCGTTGAGAGCTGAGGAGGTATTGATTTTCTGGGTGCCTGCTGGCCTTCTGGGACTTTGAGAGGCCTCAGGCAAAGAGATGAAGCCGCTGGCAGTCGGCACACTGGACCACAGGGCCTTGGGGTGTGGGGCAGGTCAGAAGCTCCACTCTGAGACCTTTGAGATGGTTGTTTTATGTATATCAAACCATAATTTAAAACAGTACAGTTAAAAGTAGAGGCAAGGACCTAGCAGCGCAGGTTTATAATCCCAGCTGTTTAGGAGCGAAGGTAGAAAGCCTGCAAGTGCAAGGGCTTGCTCACGATTACAGAGTGAGTTTCAGGGTAGCCTGAGCAAAGTAATGAAACTGTTCAAAAGAAAGAAAAAAAAAAAAAAGGATACTGGGTGGTGGTGACACATTCCTTTAATCCCAGCACTAGGGAGGCAGAGGCAGGTGGATCTCTGAGTTTGAGGCCAGCCTGGTCTACAGAGTGAGTTCTAGGACAGCCAGGGTGACACAGAGAAACCTTGTCTCAAAAACAACAAAACCAAAAAGAAACCAAAAATTCAAAACAAACAGGCCCCAACAACAAAAATTAAAATAAATGTATGTATGTATATGTACAAATACAAAAATACAGCCCAATGAATTCATTTTTTTGTTGGAGTGTATGTGGTTTCAGGGTTAACACTGTGTGTGTGTGTGTGTGTGTGTGTGTGTGTGTGTATGTGTGTGTAAAACAATAATCATCAAAGAAAAGAGGCTATCAACTTGAGAACTGGGTTGCTGTACGGGAGGAATTGGAGGAAGGGTAACTGGGAAGGGCTGGAGAGAGAAAACCAGAGATGGGGGAAGTGATATAATTCTATTTCAAGTAAAACATTTAAAAAACTGGCAGGATTCAAGGGAGAATTAAACAGTTTATTTTTTTAAGACTTATTTATTATGTATACAATGTTCTGCCTGCACACCAGAAGAGGGCACCAGATCTCATTATAGATGGTTGTGAGCCACCATGTGGTTTCTGGGAATTGAACCCAGGACCCCTGGAAGAGCAGCCAGTGCTCTTAACTGTCTGAGCCATCTCTCTAGCTGTTTTGATTTTGTTTTTTTGTTTTTGTTTTTTTTTTTCAAGATAGAGTTTCTCTGTTAGCCCTGGCTATCCTGGAACTCACTTTGTAGACCAAGCTGGCCTTGAACTCATAGAGATCCGCCTGCCTCTGCCTCCCAAGTGCTGGGATTAAAAGTGTGAACTACCACCGCTGGGCTGAATTAAACAGTTTCGCAGAATTGAAAAAAATAAGACGAAGACACTTGATGACAGCTTCTGGCCTTCTCCCTTCCAAACTCCACCCCGTGTACATGTCTACACACATGTTGCATACAGGTACTCAAACACACAAAACCAAACCGAACCATCACCACCGCCAAAGATGCTGAGAGGCATTTGAAAAGCACTGGTGTGGCCAGCATGGTTCAGCCTTACCTACTGTCTCTCGCTCTGGTTTGTTCTTCTTCCTTCTGGGAGGCCATTGTACCCTAATAAAAATACAATGACAACTGTCTTAGGTTGTAGACCCCTGGCTAGCCTTTGAATGCAAATGAATTTTTTAGGAGACAATCCAGGAAAATGGGTGGGTGGGGGGAAGCAGACAAAAGGCAGAAGGGAAGAGAAGGGAAGGAAGCCAGTGGGACAGGGTTAGGTGAGCTGGCTTTTGCTGTGGGGCTCTGGGGGGCTGTAGCCCTGAAGACTGCGGGAGGTCTGTGTCCGACGCTATAGAATCTCTCTTGATAGAGACACTAGTCTTCATCACTAATTCCTGTGCTTTGTGGGGCTACTTCTGTTCACTCTCCCTGTGTGCACAGACCAGCTGTTTAGGCCGTGTGAGGTGGTGCCCCGCCCCCCAGCACCCCCTCAGCCCCCTCTCCCCACCAGGCCAGCTACATGAAGTACCCTGGGACTGAGCTGAACTTGTGGCAGGATCATGAGCAGCTGGGTATCTGTACACAAGCCTAATGGCCCTAGTTCCATCTCTAGAGAGTTGTCCTCTAATGTCTACATGTGTGCGTGGCAGCCTCCCCCTCTCCCCACCCCCACACACAGGGTTTAAAAAAAAAAGGGGGTGATTAGACTAGTGTGCCCCTCCCCCCACCGTCTGCCTTTCCCATGTGTCGCGTGATCTCTTCCGGCCTATAGTCCCACAGTGATGCTTATCCGCTGAGCTGTGATACAGCTAGGAGGCCAGTACCATGCTGTTTAGACCCTTCAGCTACCAGCATCTTAAACTATACACACCTCTTTTCCTTATAAAGTACTTGGTCGCAACTAATTTTTTTAAAGTTGCATAGAACAGCCCAACATAGTGCATATCAGTAGGTAACAGCTCAGTAATCTAGATAATAAATACTGATCAGAAGGGCAAACACCCGTAGCTACACCCCCAGGAATTCCAGTGCTGAGAGCTCACTGTGTGATCTGTGAGGTGGTCTGTGTGGGTCTTTGCATCACTGTTTGTGGTAGTGACAGATTGGAAGTCAGCTTAAATAGTCATTAGGACGGGAAGGACTTCTTTCTGCTCCTTCCCTCACGTCCTTTCTTTTCTTTCCGTTCTCTAACCCTACCCCCTTTTCTGCAGTGTTGGAGATGGGATCCAGGCCCTGTGCATGCTGGGTAAGCTCTCACTGAGCCACCGCTGCAGAAGTGAAGGTGGCTGTTTCTGGATGTTCTCTTACTTTGTGAAAGCAAACACTTTCAGGAGCAAAGATTCTACAGTACAGAGGACTAAGGGCCTCCTGGAGTCTTGGAAATGGGATGGACTGTAGCCAAGGGAGGTGGGGTTTGTTCTTTCCTTTCTCAGTATGTGGCAGGGCCTCACAGGTCCAGAGTTTCCTGAAGAAGCCATTTCACCCCCACGCAGCCTTTCCTAACGAGTCCCCACTCCCATCCGGAGGCACTGCTGGTGGTTTGCTAACATCTTTTGTTGATTGCTCTCTCCCTCCGTGGCCCGAGGAACTTGAAGCGGACTGAATGACGGGGGCGGGGCTGGAGAACAGGGGGGCGGCTGCCTTGAAAACCCTCTGCTTTCTGTTTGAGGGGCTGTGAAAAGAGACACTTTTGCTGTCGGCTATTATTGCTGAAAATTGTGGCCTGAGTCTCCTGGCTGGGGATGCACAAAGGATGGACAATTGAGGCTTGGATTGCTCAGGGCACAGGGCAGGGAGTTCAGCTAAGCCTGAGCAAAGTGCAAGGGAGAGAACAGCTGTGAGAAAAAAAATCCCCAGCACTGGCTTCATTCTGAGGGGCTCCCTGGAGTATTCTCAGCCTCGTTTCTGACACCCTTCTTGACATTCAGGGCATGTGGCTCACTTACTTCTGTCTTTGCCTCCTCTGGAGCCCATCTTGTCTTCCAGGCTTGCGTGCACTCATCCAGCCTAGGGCGACGCTGTGACCATTCTCTGGCTGCCGGGAAGGAGATGTGGGTCATTAGATTAGATGTTCTCCATGGAGCTGTCCATGTGACTTTGAAGTAAACACTTGAGAATGAGATTGGATCAAGTCACTGGAGCCTGAGCAGTTGGAAGTCGCAGCCAAACTCAGCCAGTGAAAGGACCCCAAGTGCCTGGCTTGGGAGGTTGACATTAATCTGCTCTTTTTCAGGAACCCTTAGCACATTTGCTTTTCACCTTTGTTTCTTGCGCAGGATACATCTTACTACAGAAAGATTAAAAAAGAAAATCCCAGTTCATATCCTTCCCATCTCCCTATCACTCTGCCCTATGGAAACAGTGGTCACCTCCGAGCTCTCAAAGTTGAAGGCGGGACATGGTTAAGTAGCAGCTTAAGGAGGAGAGAATCCCAGCTCCTTAAATCTTAAGATTTAGTTCTTTATCAGCTGGATCCCGGGAGGAGGGGAATGGGCTGGGGAAAGCTGGAATATCCTAATGGTGCCTGCTTTTCTTTGTTTGAAGTCCCCATACCTCAGGGGTCATGGGAAAATAAAAGGATTTCCAGAAGTTGAGCATACAGGTTCTCAAAACATCATCATCGTCATCATCATCATCACCACAACAACTCAAAAAACAAAACAACAACAACAACAAAAAAACCCTCAACCCCCCTCCTCCACACCCTACCTCTTAAAAGCAAAACATAGAAAGTAAAGGTCGCAGCCTGGTTGGTTGCTGCTGTATCTGGCTTGCTTGTGTGTTTTAGTTGGCCCACACAATATTTTCTTTTTTCAGCCAACATTTAAACATTGGGGAATTTGAAATAGCAACCCAGAACCTCCGGAGATCCCGACTGTGCGTGGAGTCACACAGCTACGCAGTGGTTGTTGGCCTTTTACCAAACCCAAATGTGTTGTCTTAGCTGGTCTCTGACTCTGGAGGTATGTGGGTTTGCTCTCTCTCCTGCTGAAGACCTGGAAGCCCGCTGTCTTCATAGCTTTTGAAACAGCCATTCTTTGGTGATGTCTACTTGCCACACAGGCTGTCTGTCCATACTCCCTGAACCACACATTCTTCGGAAGGCTCCACACCTCTTCCTGGATTATACTGTAGCCAGCACTCAGGTCAAACAGCCACAGATCCTGGCAGTGGTCAGGTCCTGTCCTTTGCTGTCAAGAAGCTGGGTTAACTATTCATATGCTTGGGAGGTACTTGTTAACACTGTTTCCCGATCTGAATGAACATAAATGCCATGGTAAAGTATGGCACATGGCATCTGGACTTCAGACAAAATTCACATCGTGGGGTGAATGTTGACTAGTGGAAAGACAGGATTGCTTTGGCTAGGACCTGGTTAGTTGAAAGAAGCAACAAACACACAAAAAACCCCAACAGCAGCAGCAACAACAACAACCCCAAACAAACCTCCCAACCCCAAGGATTTTTAGGTTATACCTGTGTCCACATTCCCTGAGCGCTTCATCCTGTCACCACCCTGGAACCGCCAGACTAACTCACTCTTTCTTCACCCCCCCTTCCCCCTCCCACGGTCTGCTCTCAGAGATCCACTTCCTCCACGCAGCCCATCTGGTGCTCATAGCTAGAGTGAACCTACCTGCCTGGTGGCCTGTTGTGTCTCTCTGTGGCTGGTTGTGAGTCAGAGGCAATAATGTCAGCCTAAACCTCCGTCCTTGAGGTTTTCTCCTTTTCCCTGTTTCCAAAGCCCAGGGACGGTGTCTCAGGCTCTGCTCTTTAGAGGACCAAGACGAAGGTAGTAGGAAAGATTGACGATACATTGGCTGGATTTGGCTGTGACAAGCTCATGGAATAGTATAATAAAGAACACTTCATCTTGATTTTTGTAATGGTGTGCAAATATGTCCTTGTAGGAGTGTGTGCATCTCTGTGTGTGTGTGTATGTGCACACGGAGGCCAGAGGTTAATGTTAGGTGTCTTCCTCCATCTCTCTTCACCTTATTATGTATAGATGTAGTCTCCTTATGCAGTTTTGACTGGCCAGTAACTTCAATACAGATCAAGCTGGGCTTGAACTCACAGATGCCCATTTGCTTCTTCCTTTTATGTGTTAGAATTAAAGGTGCATACCACTGAGCCTGCCTATGTCATTTTTCCTTCCTTCCTTCCTTCCTTCCTTCCTTCCTTCCTTCCTTCCTTCCTTCCTTCCTTCCTTTCTTTCTTTCCTTCATGTATGACTGTTTTGCTTTCATATATGTACATGCGCCACATACATGTCTGGTGCCTAGGCAGGTCAGAGCAGTGTGTCAGATCCCCTGGGGCTGGAGTTACAGCTGTGAGCCATCATGTGAGTGCTGCAAAGCCCAGTTCTTAGCAGGAGCACCACGTGTTTTTAACTGTGGAGCCATCTCTCCAGACCTTTATCTTATTTCACTGAGCCTGAAGTTCATTGATGCTTTCGCTACCTGGTCAATGTGGTCTAGTGGTTCTCCTGTCTCTGTGCCCTCTAGCATTGATGTTAGGGGCAAGCCTACTCATGACTGTTATGTGGGTAGTGGTGGTCTGAATTCAGGTCCTCCTGCTTGTACTTTACCAACTGAACCATTTCCCACATTGACTAAAAGGTGTGTGTGTGTGTGTGTGTGTGTGTGTGTGTGTGTGTGTGTGTAAGCACACGTGACATGGCATGCCTGTGAAGGACAGAGAACAACTTTCTGAAGTCACTTATTTCTTTCCCTGTGGGTACCAGGTATGAAACTCAGGTAGTTAGGCTTAGTAGCAATTGCCTTTATCTACCCATAATTTTACTGGCCCATAATTTCAATTTTTTCATGTGAAAACAGAGCCTATTAATTTTGTATATTTACAGTCTGAATTTGACTCCTATCTGTCTATCTATTTATCCTTTAATTAAGTAACCACTAGAAAATCATATGGTTTTACATTAAAAGTTCAGATTTTTGCTGAAAGCACACACCTTTAATCCCAGTACTTGGGAAGCAGAGGCAGGTGGATCTCTGTGAGTCTGAGTCTAGCCTGGTCTACAGAGTGAGTTCCAGGAAAGCCAGGGCCATAGATAGCAACCCTGTCTCAAACAACAACAACAACAACAACAAAAATCAGATTCCTGGGCCAATGAGATGGTTCAAAGGGTAAAGTCACTTGTTACCAAACCTGACAATTTAAGTTTAATTCCTGGAAACCATATGGTGGAAGCAGAAAATTAATTTTCTCAAGTTTTCCCTTGATCTCCACATGTGAGCTCTGGCATGCACACAAATAAAAAATGTAATTAATTAAAAAATATTAGATTTTTTTTCTGGAACACTGGAAGACCTGGAAACCTAGACCAGTCCCTGGCTGGTGGACAGCGGCTTCTCTGCTTTAGTGGGTTGGCATGTGGCTGTTGGGGGCTGACCATCCCACAGTGACGTGTCCCCATGTGCATGCACACGGCCCTCTGTCCTCATTTATAGACTATGGGTGGCTGCTTGTGGGCATTTAAGCTTGACATCGCCAAAGTGAAGGGAAATTTTGCTAGGGGTAATGATGGGAATCGCTGCTCAGAAAATGCATTGAACTAAGATAATGGGTTATGGATTGCTGAACCCAGTTTGAAGTTCTCTGATTGACGGGGGAAGTTGTACTTTATTTCGGGTGTTTATGCCTCTACTCCTTCCACCGAGCCCCCAACCCTAGGTAGGAGAGAGAGGGTTAGTGGGGAGAGGGAGCACCAGACCGCTTTACCTCTCCCGGCTGTTTATGGTCCATGGGTTCTTTTAGAGCTTTGCCAATCTCCATCAACAACGCAGCCCTCAGTCTCCTCCAAGCCGCTAATCCCTGAAGTGTTTCTCTCTGTCTGTGCTCCAAACTGCCACACCGTCGTCTCTAGTCTCTTCCACTGTCACCCACCACCCACCACCCGCATGCCATCTTTCTCTTTTTGGGTCCTCATGTTTATATCCTCAGAGCCCTGAGATCATGCCCTTCTCTGTGCCGCACGAGGCACATGTCAAAGGCCATGTCCTCCTGCACGACACAATTATCAAAGCCCAACTAAAACCCCACACATGGGATTAAAACAAAAACATATTTACCTAACATAACCGAGATTTAAGAGAAACCAAAACTTCCATCACGGGAAGTGGACCAAACAGCTTGTAAAACCTGTCAAGCTCTGTCCTGCATCGGCTGAGGAGATTCTCTCTGACAAAGTGACTGGGCTTTTGAGAGCCCCCCCCCCCCCCCCGAGTCTAGTGAGAGGGCATTGTCTGCTCAGCACTGAGGTGTACAGTGAGGAGATTTAGCAGCAGAGCCCATGGAAACGCAAATGCAGGTGTGCTAATGAAGTCTCTGGTGCCCCTTAGGGAGCGTAGAACACTGAGCTGTTGGCTGTTGTCAGCTGGGTGGTAAGGGTCTTGTGGTGAATAAGGGGATCCTGGGGCTGGAGTTGAAGCTCAGTTCATAGAATGTTTTGCCCGGCAATGCTTGAAGCCCTGGGTTCTATCTCTCACACTGCAACAGTCAGGCGTGATGGCGTAAACCCAGTACTGGGTTGGGACTGGGGTCCTGGGAGCATAGGCAGGAGGATCTAAATTCAAGGTCATTTTTGGATACAGTGTGAGTTCAAGACCAGCCTGGAACACAGGACAAAGATATTACTGTCACTGATTTCAAGGGTGTGGTATTTCTATCTTTGCGTTTTGTTTTTTTTTTTTTTTTTTTTTTGTTTGTTTGTTTGTTTTTTTTGTTTTTTGAGATAGGCTTTTTGTGTGTAGCCCTGGCTGTCCTAGAACTCGCAATGTAGACCAGGCTGGTGTGGAACTCATAGAGATTCGCCTGTCTCTGGCTCCTGAGTGCTGGGATTAAAGGCATGTATCACCACCATGCCATCTATCTTTGCTGAGAGTCCTTTATTTCCTCTTCTTCTTGGTTGGTCACTGGGGCTTGGGACTAAGAGGAGGGAGGCATGACTCCAGCTGTTTTCTGTGCCTACCTTGGCTCTGTCTGCTC